TGTTTTGTTTCTATATTTATTTTCTTATTAACTTAAGCTTGGCCCATAAATAATTCAGAAAGAAAGCCTTGATTTATTGATATTTAATAATTTATTGGGTTTTTATGTATTGAGGCTTCATATTTGTATCATATAGTACTCATTCATTTTTAATGAGTCAAAGGTTTTCCACGTGTACGTATATTAAGCTTGGTTTGAGAACATTCTAGAAAAATCCGGTTTATGTTTCAGGAGAGGAAGGGAGGTCAAACTAGATCTAAATTGTAGGCTCTATTTTTAGAATCAGCAATAATCCAGATAAAAATTAACTTGTAACTTATGCAAATTGAAAGAAATATTTGTTGTGAAAAGCCTGTGATGGTTCCCCGTGCCATGTCCAGAAAAGCAAATGTAATTCAATTTTTTTCTTAAATACTGAAAACGTGACAATTCCTAAATTAAAGGATTGTGAGCGAAAAAAGTTTTTTACTGTTTTACTAGCGTAAAGTGCAACCCAGAAAAGCTTCTATGTAAAAATTCTTTTTAGTATGGCAACTTTTTTTGCAGAATCTTTCTTACTTTCTTAGAGTTTTACATCGGTATGTTTAAGGATATCTACTCGATATAAAGCAATAATTATCAATTTTCGGTTTAAGAAAGTTTTATCAAAAATTAAACTTTTAAAAGTTTATGGAACATTTTCAAAAAAATTCAAACAAATATTTCTGACACCCCTAGCTATATAATTCACCACTGCTATCCTTCAAGTACCATTTTCATCTTTCTAAATATCCTTGGGAAAGATTTGACAGGTTCTTTCTGCAACATTAATATTGTTTAGATTTCACTGATAACTTGTAATCTTCTAAGTAAATAAAAAGTCAATTGTCATGAATGCTTTTTAAGTTACTTCACAATTTAAACTCTTTGAATTCTAACTTTTCATATTAACTTAGTTTTTAGCTTTTTTGATAAACAGAAGAATTAGTTAAAAAGTTTACTGCAAGTTTATCAACCATTATCACTATTTTACTTTTTATATTTGTTATAATTATTTTTATTATTATTATTATTAGCATAATTTATTATCATTATCAGGGAGATGGAGAATCAGTACCAGAGACTCCACCCAACGAGGTATCTCGTCACTCAACTCTCAAGGATGAAACTATGACCAGAGATCCAGGGTTTAAGCTCAGACTGGAGATGGACGGTATAACAATGAGCCTCCTGGTAATCGGGCTCATGACAAGACTTTTCAGGTCATTTGTAGTTCCTTCAATATACTTATTTTATAAATCTAATTATCTAAGTTTGATGTTGACTAAAACTTTATTTTTATAGATTGGAGAATCCTAAAAATGTCGTCTTCGACGAAATGCATTACGGGAAATATGCTTCACAATATTTGAAAAATACATTTTTCTTCGACTCCAACCCTGCCCTAGGGAAGATGATAATTGCATTTGCGGGATACTTGGCAGGGTTCGACGGTAGGTTCGGGTTCGACAAGATAGGAGTAGAGTATCCAGATAGTGTTCCTCTCTGGACCCTCAGGTAAACTAATAAAATAATGATTATAAAAACAGTTTTTGTTTTTAAAATTGATAAAAAAAAATTTTTTTAGGTTTGTTCCAGCTTTTGCTGGATCTTTGCTCAGTCCTCTGTGTTACATAATCATCAAGGAGCTTGGTTTTAGTCCCTGGACCGGAGCCTTGGCAGGGTTCATGATTCTCTTTGGTTAGTTGTTTTTTTATTAACATTTAATAAATTCCTCTTTCTTCTTTTTGTTGTTTCTGGTTTTGGTCGTTTTGAAAGCTTAATGGACACAAACAAGAAGACCAGCAAAATATATATAGATTATTTCTATGTTGCAAAGGAATAGAGTTTTTTCCACAAACTCATTTTAAAATCCCTATACCTTCGCAACCTGTTGGTGTAAACCTTTGATATTTCTATCTTAAATTATTTGATATTAGATAAATCATATATTGAAATATCTAAGATCTACGACATGGGGTTGCAAAGGTATAGGAATTATCAAATCTGAGTTTGTGGCAAAGACTCAATTCCTTCAGGATTAAAATGTTTTTTTTTTACATAAAAATGCTTAATAAAATTTGTTTATTTTAGACACAGCGATCCTTACCCAGTCCAGGTTTATCCTCATGGAATCCATCATGATGTGTTTCGGTCTCGGAGCTCTTCTCTGTGTTCTCAAGTTTAGGAAGGTTTCTAATAATTCCTTCTCCCCGGAATGGTTTTTCTGGCTGACTGCCAGCTCATTTCTCTCAACTTGTGCCTTCTGGTAAGTATTTTTTTAAATAAGTCGTGGAAATTATATTTTTTTTTACATAACAATTTTTAACCATTAAAAATCGTTTTTTTTTCTCTGTTAAATTGTGCTTAGAAGAAACCTTGAATTGGGAAAAATTATGGTCTATAGGATTTGATGGGAGGTTTCCTAAATCAATAAACCCAATTTTTGGCAATTATAGTCTTTTTAACCTAATTATTATTTTATTTTTTTATCATTGACACGAACCCGAATTATATACAATACATAAACAATTAATTAGTATTTAATCTGTTATTTATCTATAATTTAGTGTAAAATATATCGGAATATATTCTGGATTTCTCTGCTGGGGTTTACTACTCCAGGATTTCTGGAGACAACTTCCAAACAAAACTGTCTCTGATCGGAAACTTCTAGCTGATTATATGGTAAGCAATTTCATAAATAAAGTCCTTACAACAATTCTCGACCTAAATTTTGACAGTCTCATAGACCAAAAATAGGTGGAGAAAATCTTTGTTCAGTCAAAATTTTCTTTTTAACCAGGTCCGTTCTGTGGTTCAAGGGTTAGTAACAGTTCTGCTCTACCTTGGAATATTCTACGTACACTTTTCTGTCCTCTACAAGGCTGGGACACACGACTCCTTGATGACGAGTCAGTTCCAGGCTAGCCTTGAAGGAGGTCTAGGTTCCATTATCAGGGGTCAACCCGGAGTAATTGCGCACGGGAGTCAGATCACTCTCAGGCATACTCATGGTAGAACCTGCTGGCTTCATTCTCATGAACATGTGTATCCAGTCAGGTTTATTATTTGCATTTATTTTCTTCTTTTATCCAGACTTTATAGATTTATTTTGAGCTTTTTTCACCAAAGGATCGGGCTTTTCTCACAAACAGTGATTTTCTAATCCGTTTATCTTTTTTTCCAATCTATGTATTCTGTTAGATAAATAAATGTTCTTACCATCAGATTGCAAAGACATAGGAATTACAGTGGATTCGAATATATCAATACAATCAAGGCGACTTTCTATCTCAATTTTGATTTGTACCAAGCTTCCAAACAGATTGGATTCACATTTAAATGGAATCAATGAGAAGCTGTTCACTTTATTTGATAAAATATTGTTTGAAATCAAAACCTAAATAGAAATTTCGTCTTCATTGTATTGATATAAACGCCGACCATTCTAGAAAATTTGAGTTTGTGGCTAATACTCAATTGCTTTACTGAGAACTTGAACAAATAATTAAATTTTCTAATTTTTCTAATTGTTCCGATGTTCTTGGTAGGTATGCGGACGGTCGAGGATCATCTCACCAACAACAGGTTTCCTGCTATTCCTTCAAGGATATCAACAACTGGTGGATCATAAAACGTCCTGATAGAGAGGAGCTGGCCGTCCAGGAACCCATTGATAGTATTCAACACGGAGATATCATACAACTTGTTCATGGAATGACTCACAGAGCGCTTAACTCACACGACGTTGCAGCTCCCGTCTCACCACACAACCAGGAGGTTTCATGCTACATAGATTATAATATATCCATGGCGTCAGAGAACCTATGGCGGGTTGATATTGTAAACAAGGATACAGTTGGAGATGTTTGGCACACTATCAACTCTCAAGTAAGATTAATCCACGTGAACACGACTCAAGCTCTAAAGTATTCGGGAACCACGTATCCGGACTGGGGTTTCCATCAAATAGAGGTTGTGACGGATAAAAACTTAAATCAAGCTGACACTGTCTGGAACGTTGAAGAACATAGATATACTAAGAACGACAAGGATAAGACTACCATAGAAAATGAGTTGGGACAACATGAACTCATCCCTGAGAGTAAAACTGTTCTCTCCTTTTGGGAGAAGTTTGCTGAGCTCCAGTTCAAGATGCTGCTCACGAGTCAAGAAAACGTAAAGAATCATAATTTTGCCAGTGATCCTCTTGAATGGCCTTTCTTAACCCGAGGCATTGCTTACTTCATAGCCAAGGATTCTAATAATCAGGTTCATCTTATTGGAAATATAGTGATTTGGTATACAGTGTCTCTAGGTCTGGCTCTCTACGTCGCTCTTCTCGTCTTTTACCTGCTCCGACGTAGACGGCAGTGCTATGATATCTCCGAGCTTGAGTTTAGCACGTACTGCTTGGCCGGAGAGGTTCTCTTGACCGGATATCTCATTCATTATGTTCCATATTTCTTCTACGATAGAACACTGTTTATTCATCATTATCTACCTGCCTACATTTTCAATATCATGCTTACGTCATACTTCATCACTCACGCATACTCTCAGTTCAGGTGAAAATTATATTTAATAGTAAACTCTTAGAAAGCCATTTAAAAACCACTCACCTCAATGTTCAGCATGAAAACTTTCAAGTTTTAAAGAACAAAAATTTACAAAAACATTTATGAACATGTTATTTTTATAATTTAATATTGGCTTTAGATATACATTTTGGTGCTAATAGTTCTTTTTCTATCTAAAATTCATAATTATTGATTTTCTAGAAAACGCTTCAGTGGTAGCATGAGCAAGTACATTTGCCTCGCTGCTTTGTTTACCTGGGGTGTTTACAGTCTGGTCGTCTTTAACAAGTTCTCTGTGCTCAGCTACGCAGATAAACCACTCGGGGCTGAGGAGGTATTACTCATGATTTTTATGTAATTTTTAGAGTTTAATTTATAACTAAACTCCTTTAAATAAATGTAGTATCTTTCTTTCAAAAAAAAAAAAATACGAAAACAGGATATTATTGTACTAAAAGTGTCAAGAATAACCATTTTGTTATGTTTTAATTCCAATCATCAATAATAAACTTTACCAATACGTTATTCACACGGTTTGTCCATGTTAAGTTTTAAACAAGTGTATGCTGTATTGATCAAATATAAAATATGCATCGGGAAAAGTATATTTAAGTTACTCACTGTGGAAAACCTTGTTCTCTGATGTTATGATGCATCACAAAACCTTCACACCTTTTAGTTTTCCTATAATTCTGTTTTAGAAGTTTATTTTGATTCCACCAAATTATTAATAGATTCAAACAATGTTTTTGTGGATTTCATTAAAGTTTTTTTGAGATTCTATCAACTCTAGCGGTCTTTGGTGGTTTTTGACACTACGTTATGATTTTTCTGACAGTTTCCTATGCATGATTAATGAAACTATTTTAGGTTCGGAGTCTCCGATGGAAGGATACCTGGGATCTGATAATTCATAAAAAATAATGATTCTCAATAACAGATTCTTCCATGCTAAATGCTCATCAGAAAAGTTTATTCTTCTTAATTTACAGAATCTGTCATATTTTAGGCTTTAGCGTAACTTTTAATGATGTTTTGTCGTTATGATTGTGAAGGGGGGGGGGAGAATGGCAACAAAGGAATTAATTCTTTCCCACAGCTCAAATTTTCTAAACCCTTTATATTCTCATGCTGATGATATAATTTTAGATTATTTAATCTAACAGAATCCATAGTTTAAAATATCTAAGGTCTACGACATTGGGTTGAAGAGATTTAGCGATTAGAAAATCAGAGTTTGTAGAAAGGACTCAACTCCTTTGTTGTTCTTGTGACGTCAAATATTTTTCTGGATTATTTAGTTTTAGGTTTGGGGTGAAAATCAATTTATCTATTTCGTTGAATTCTTAGCTGCACGGATTCTTGCAGACGACAGGAATGACGAGAAGAAAAATCTTTCTTATCATAAAGAAAATTTTTATTAAATTTCTATTTATACACCTGCTTAGAACTTCTAATTGTTTATTCCTTTATTAATTATTTGCAAAACTGTTCTATTGATTTTTCTTTCTGTCCTTTAGTACTCATGTCTATTTACATGGACAATAGAATTTCCCTTTTTTCATATAATAGGGGGCTAACGCCCATCCTCACTCCCACCCGTCCTCAGCTGATTTTAGACTTTGAAATTTATAGTTTTAGATAAAAAATGTCTACTGAGCTGGGAACTTTAGAATGGATAAACTTTAATCCTGACTTCTTAATCCGAATATCCACTGTGGAAACTTTTCATTTTTGTCCTAATCCACTCTTTTTCTCTCTCCTTGGATATCCGTTAGGCGTTAAGTGTTTTCTCCAATGAGAATATTTCTGTTCTCTCATTGATTGTCCGCTTTTCTCTGATTGGCTGCTACAGTTTCTCTGATGATTACAGTTTTTTCATACACTTTTAAGATAATCTTGCAAGATTATGTTAATCTTGAGATTATCAAAAAGAGAGGATCAAGCATTAATCCCGATATCAACCATTCTAAAGTTTTCAGCTCTGCATCATTGCAGAGTATAATAAGGTTAATGATTATTTTTTGAGGCGAGTCCCTTTCTAAAGAAAATTTCTTAATGGTAATACATATTCTAAATAAAATGTTATCAGAAGATTGTTGAGTTTTTACTGATATTATATAATTTATATAATTTATATAGCATAAACCTGACAATCTTGTTTATGCTCCTGGTACGTCTGTCATGAAACTTGTAAATTACTCGACTCTACAAATAACTCATGAATAAAAGCTTTACAAACTAAATAAATACTCATTTCTAAGAAACATAAACAAGCAAACAATTCCATAATCATAATTAATTCTATAATATTTATCCTGAATGCTTTTTCCTATGCTTTAAAATAATTAGCTTATATCTATAATTACATTACTGGGGCAGTCAGTTAATTTTGTTAATGAACAATATTGGAACCTGGACTATGGAGAATATTTATACTTTTTTTTTACCATTTTCCTTCATAAAAAGGCAGAAATGCATTAATTGCATTGCATTATCTCTTATTGCTCTCTACTGAGGGTTGGTTTATGATCCAGAATCAGTTTATTCTATCCAGGATTAGTTTACTCTATCCAGGATTAGTTTACTCTATCCAGGATTATTTTACTTTATACGGGATTCGTTTACTCTATCCAGGATAAGTTTACTCTATCCAGGATTAGTTTACTCTATCCAGGATTCGTTTACTCTATCCAGGATTAATTTACTCTATCTAGGATTAGTTTAATCTATCCAGGATTAGTTTAATCTATCCAGGATTAGTTTAATCTATCCAGGATTAGTTTAATCTATCCATGATTAGTTTAATCTATCCAGGATTAGTTTAATCTATCCATGATTAGTTTACTCTATCCAGGATTTACTCTATCCAGGATTAGTTTACTCTATCCAGGATTAGTTTACTCTATCCAGGATTAGTTATTTTCTATCTAGGATACGTTGACCTGTATGCTATTGAAATGTTATCAAGATTTACATTTATCATTTCAAATGTGTTGTTATAACTAAAGTATTATTTTATAAGATATATTTTATAAACTATTTTTGTAATTCAAAACAATATAATAAATTATTTTCAAAATCTAGAGTTTTTGTCAATAATGTTTTTGAATAAATTAAAAAGATCTAATAATTAAGCATTTTTTTTGAATGTTGAACAATAAGATTAAAAAAATTACGTTCGAAGAAATACGTTTTTAATCAGTTTAGATGATAAGGATAAAAATAAGTTTTGGAAAGAATTAATTGCATGGTCGTAAAGTTTATTTGAAAGGACCTTTTGTACAGAAATAGTCCATTCCTTGATTAAAACATGGTATAATGTTTATAACTCGTATTGTCCTCAGTTATATTATTATCATAATTAAATAGTTCTCTCTCATACAATACAGTGTATAGGAGTAGAAGGTTTATGGTTAGAGTAGGAGTAGAATACAATTAAGGTTTAAGGTTAGAAGTAGGATAAGGAATAGAATACAAGGTTTATGGTTAGGAGTAGAGTGGGAGTATAATTTAAGGATTACGTTTAGGAGTAGGAGTAGGAGTAGAATACAAGGTTTATGGTTAGGAGTGGGAGTATAATTCAAGGATTATGGAGTAGGAGTAGAATACAAGGTTTATGGTTAGGAGTGGGCGTATTATACAAGGATTATGGAGTAGGAGTAGAATACAAGGTTTATGGTTAGGAGTGGGAGTATAATAGAAGGATTATGGAGTAGGAGTAGAGTACAAGGTTAATGGTAAAAGTAGAAGTAGAATAAAGTAGGTTTATATGGTTAGAGTAGAAGTGGAATACAAGTTTCAAGGTTAGGAGTAGTAGTGGGGTACAAGATTTATGGTTAAAAGAAGGAGTAGGGGTAAAATCCAAAGTAGGGAAAGTAGTATAATATACGGTTTACGGTAAGAAGCAGGAGTAGGAGTAGAATAAAAGGTTTATTATAAGGAGTAGGAGTAGAATACAAGGTGTATGGTTAGAAGTAGGAGTAGAATACAAGGTTTATGATAAGGAGTAGGAGTAAAATACAAGGTTTATGGTAGGAGTAGGAGTAGGAGTAGAATACAAGTTTTATGGTTAGAGTAGGAGTAGAAAACAAGAATTAATACAATTTTCATGGAGTATGAGTAGGAGTAGGAGTATTAGAATACAAAGATTTTGGTTAGGAGTAGAGTAGGAGTATAATTTAAGGATTACGTTTAGGAGTATGAGTAGGAGTAGAATACAAGGTTTATGGTTAGGAGTGGGAGTATAATACAAGGATTATGGAGTAGAAGTAGAATACAAGATTTATGGTTAGGAGTGGGAGTATAATACAAAGATTATGGAGTAGGAATAAAATACAAGGTTCATGGTTAGGAGTGGGAGTTTAATACAAGAATTATGGAGTAGGAATAGAATTCAAATATTATAGTTAGAGTAGGAGTAGGAGTAGAATACAAGGTTTATGGTTAGGAGTAAGAGTAGAATACAAGGATCATGGTTAAGAGGAGAAGTAGAAAACAAGGTTTATGATTAGGAGTAGTGGTAGAAAACAAGGTTTATGATTAGGAGTAGGAGTAGAATACAAGGTTTATGATTAAGAGTAGTTGTATTATTATTAGGATTAGTAATACAAGTTTTATGATTAGAAATAGAGAGAGAATATAAGGATTAGTAGGATCAGAATACACGGTTTACGATTAGAAATAGAGAGAGAATATAAGGATTAGTAGGATCAAAATACAAGTTTTATAATTAGAAATAGAGAAAAAATTTAAGGATTAGTAGGATCAGAATACAAGTTTTATGATTAGAAATAGAGAGAGAATATAAGGATTAGTAGGATCAGAATACACGGTTTATGATTAGAAATAGAGAGAAAATATAAGGATTAGTAGGATCAGTATACACGGTTTATGTTTAGAAATAGAGAGAGAATATAAGGATTAGTAGAATCAGAATACACGGTTTATGATTAAAAATAGAGAGAGAATATAAGGATTAGTAGGATCAGAATACACGGTTTATGTTTACCAAAAATTGTTCTCTAGGACAGACCCCATTGATCTCCATATTTTGCAGATCTAAGGATTAATTCAAAATCTCTTGTCTTTGATAACCTGCTGGGATTATTAAGAGACATTCATTTATCTCTCAAACTTAAAGTGGAAATCAAGATCTAGTGTGTTGTAACTAAGCGCCATTTTACACAAAAGTTTTAACTTCTGGTCGATGTCAAGGTTCTTAAAAGTTCTGGGTTATGAAAGCTAAAGATGAAGTTTATTACTTATTTTTCAGTTATTTACTATCTTAGGAACAAAGAAACTGGATCGTAATGCTAAAAAAAGATAATTAATTATCATTAAAGCTTTCTATATTTCTCCTTGTTCTTATGTGGTCTACTTTGTTACTTTTTAATTATTAAATTATGATTCATAGATTTATTCCCATAAATGAATTTACAGTTTAAAACATTTAATAAATACAAAATATACATTTATGTATAAATATAAATATTACAATCTAAGACACCAAAGATTAAAGGACAAATAATGTTCAGAAGTAGAATATGTTATTTATAAATATAAATATAGCACATTTATATTATATACGCTGAATAGATTATAATAGAACTTTCTCTCTTCAGTTTATAATTTTAAAGAGAACATAAAAGTAAAAAAAATATTTTAAAAGTTTTAACTGGGTAAAATGCGTATTTCTGTTTTCAAGTTTTTTTTTTAATAAAAGTTGTAACTAAATATCACAAAAAATGTTTAATCAAAGTTGTAAATGAATAAACGAGTTAAAAATATCTATTTACGTTAATTCTACCAGGATATATGGGTATACAGGGTGACCCCAAAAAAACATGGGAATTTTTTAACGAAAGTAGGATCGTTCTTAATTTTTAATTATCAAAAAATTTTCAAAAATGGCGAACAACATTTGGAAAAAATTCCAAGACTAAGGGTATTCGTTGTTTTATGTGGTATAATGCCACGTGAATCAAAGACGACTTAAAATTCCATGTTTTTTGGGACACTCTGCATGAAAGGTTTGTTGACAAATGAAATATACTGGTTTGTTTGTGTCTAATACTGAGACAGAAGAACTGAACAAACTATTCGGGTTTAATAAAGAGTAAACATTAATTATGTTGAACATATAGGAGGATTGTTTTAAAATGATGACATGTGACCATGAAAAACTATTTTTTAACCTGTACCATGCGGCTAACGCAAGCTTCCTCAGATCCAAGTTTGTTTTGTCTACTAAATTATGTTTGTTTACAAGTTAAAATTACAGCAGAATAAAATCCCTCCAATCATCTCACCTTTAATTTAACCATGGTTATTCTTGTTTGCATTGTTATAATACCGATCTTGGTTTAAATAATACTGGTTTAGTGTCTCATTATTTAGAGAAAAAACGTTAGAGAAGTCTGGAGAAAAATTGAATGTGAGAAAGTTACTGATGTTTAAATGTTTCTGGAGGAAACGTGAAACTGAATAAGAGTGTTGATGAGGTCGGGTTGATGTTGGAGACTTAATACGGAGAAAGGGTTCTGTTGAGAAGTTGTTGATGAAATTGAGAAGTTGCGGATGTTTGAGCAGCCCTTGAGATTTAATCTGGAGTAAGGATTTTGTTGAAAAGATGTTGATTAGATTGAGTTGCAGATACTGTGGTAGAACTGGAGACTGAATCTGAGTTGTAGATACTGGAGTAGAACTGGAGACTGAATCTGAGTTGCAGATACTGGAGTAGAACTGGAGACTGTATCTAGAGTAAGGGTTCTGTAGTAGAACTGGAGACTGTATCTGGAGCAAGGGTTCAGTAGTAGAACTTGAGACTGAATCTGAGTTTCAGATACTGGAGGAAAACTGAAAACTGAATTTGAGTTGCAGATAATAGAGTAGAATTGGAGACTGAATCTGAGTTGCAGATATTGGAGTAGAGTTAGAGACTGTATCTGGAATAAGAGTTCTGGAGTGAAGATGTTGATTAAATTGAGTAACAGATACTGGAGTAGAGTTAGAGACTGTATCTGGAGTAAAAGTTCTGGAGTGAAGATGTTGATTAAATTGAGTCACAGATACTGGAGTAGAGTTAGAGACTGTACCTGGAGTAAGAGTTCTGGAGAGAAGATGTTGATTAGATAAATTTGGGAATACTGGAGTAGAACTGGAGAAGTACAGAAATATTTACGTAGAAAAATTGTTGATGATGTTAACTGGTTTTGGAGCATAACTGGAGACGTTGTGCTAGTGTTGATCACTGATCAGGGTAATTTCAGAGAGATGTAAAATCCAGAAAAGGTTTACGTAGAGAAGTTATTGATGAGATTGAGAAAATGAACAGCTTTGCTCTTTGTTGAAGTACTCACCATTATACTGTTCATGCAGTTTAAAAAGTACTCACTGCCATAGCAACCAGACCTAAATAAAAGCTAGATAATAAACAAATTTTTTATAAAATAAGCAATGAGCTAAAAATTAATTCCAGGAATTGAGTCTTTTTACAAACTCTGATTGAACAATCCCTATATATTTACAACCCGATGTCGTAGACCTAAAATCTATGTTTTCAATATTACAAAGATATAGGGATTAGAAAATTCGAGTTTGTTGCAAAGACTCAATTCCTTTAGTTTTAATCTGTACCTACACATCTGATACACATCAATATCTCTGTAGAGACGATAACAGTCCTCACAAATCCGATCTAGAAATTTAGCCATCTGAAGGGAGGGAGGAGATGTACACATTCCGTCTTCAAAACCAGCCTAGAGAGAGTAACTATAGTCGGGTTATTTAAACTAGAGATAGTCAGGTTATTTAAACTAGAGATAGTCAGGTTATTTAAACTAGAGATAGTCAGGTTATTTAAACTAGAGATAGTCAGGTTATTTAAACTAGAGATAGTCAGGTTTATTAAACTAGAGATAGTCAGATTTATTAAACTAGAGATAGTCAGGTTTATTAAACTAGAGATAGTCAGATTTATTAAACTAGAGATAGTCAGGTTTATTAAACTAGAGATAGTCAGGTTATTTAAACTAGAGATAGTCAGGTTTATTAAACTAGAGATAGTCAGGTTTATTAAACTAGAGATAGTCAGGTTTATTAAACTAGAGATATTCAGGTTTTTTAAAGCAGAGATATTCAGGTTTATTAAAGCAGAAATATTCAAGTTTATTAAACTAGAGATATTCAGGTTTATTAAACTAGAGATATTCAGGTTTATTAAACTAGAGATATTCAGATTTATTAAAGCAGAGATATTCAGGTTTATTAAACTAGAGATATTCAGGTTTATTAAGCTACAGATATTCAGGTTTATTAAACTAGAGATAGTCAGTTTTATTAAACTAGAGATAGTCAGGTTTATTAAAGCAGAGATATTCAGGTTTATTAAACTAGAGATATTCAGGTTTATTAAGCTAGAGATATTCAGGTTTATTAAACTAGAGATAGTCAGTTTTATTAAACTAGAGATAGTCAGGTTTATTAAACTAGAGATATTCAGATTTATTAAACCAGAGATATTCACAAGACCCATGAAAAAATAATTGATTATTCTTTATTAAAAGTTTTCCTATTTAAAAAAATCTATTTTATACGATAGTTATAATTAATATCTTCTGCAAGATTCGCGATGTACAATTAATATTTATTTTATTTTGTAGACGTTAAATTGTCTAATTTTAAGTTATTTATTTTGGTTATTTGTCCCTTCAAAAAGATTTTCAGACGAAGACACAAAAATCTAAAAAGAACATTCTGTTTTTTTTTCTGATATATTTACAGGACTATCAACAGGACTATCAACAACTTGGACTTTAATCACGACCTGAAACTTAATCAATCTGAAGACGGAAATTATATAATCCTAGGTCAGAAGTTTTGTGTTGTAAATCTAGGGATAGATCATTGATCTTCATCTTGTGCACACCTACGGATTAATCTAGGGATAGATCATTGATCTTCATCTTGTGCACACCTACGGATTAATCTAATTCCTCTCAGATATCCCGTAGTGATTCTACCTTGCAGGAATAATGAAATGCACTTATCTCTCAAATTAAAAGTTCTTACTTCGGATATCGAGATCAAGCGCTGTAGTTTTGCGCCATTTCACACTAAAGTTTTGACTTCTGTTAGCCTATTAAATGATTGAACAAAGAAATAGATAAGTTTACAGATGGAGGAAACCATTAATGTGAAAAAACTAAATCATTTTTATGAATGTTATGAAAAGATGAGGGGTTGGGGGGGGGGGTGCATACCTGGGACCTTCTGTCAGGTTTTAAAAAAATGAGGGGTTGGTGGGGGGGGGGGGTCATACCTGGGACCTTCTGTCAGGCTTTGTGAAGATTCTTCCAAGGGCTGAGTTCAAGAGTAAAACCAAGACCAAGATCTTGATGTGATAAAAGTTTCCGACCATAATCTTTTAAAAAATTCTAAAAGTAAATATGCTAACTATTTAAATTATATATTAAAAAAAGTGTTTCGCTTCTCTCACCTTTCTCTGGTGGTGTAGGATCAGGAATGATTGAATCCGGAGTTTTCCGCCATAAAATACTCGGAGCATTGGATACGTCATGCTGACTCCGACCCTCCGGAGTTTTCGATCCAACCTTTCATAAACCCCGAAGAACTAGTTCAAGGACTTCAAATAAAAAGATTGAGCGGGCTCAAGACAAGAGAAATAAGAAGAATTGAGGTTAGTGGAGAAAAAAATTCTTAGGTTTCTGATAAATTTCCGTAATTAAAACTCCCGAGTTTCCTTTTTGGGGTGTCTACATATGCGTAGATTTTAATTCAAGAAATCAGAAAACAAAAAAAGAATGTAAAGAAACAAAATGAAATGATATTTCTTAACAAAATGTTGGTTTCTACAAAACTGCCTGACCTCATTCATGAAACCGGGATTCCGATACTGGGTTTCATTACGAGACTCTATATTAAGTTTTGGGCTTTGTACATGAATACATACATCTTCCTTTTACGCTCTACTTTTATAATACAAATACCTTGAACATAAAATACTTAAAACATAAAGAATATCCAAGCACATTTTAAGTTGATAAATAAGATAACTCAACCAACAGCTTCATACTATCTCTGTAAAGTGGATGTAAATTGCTGCTAAAAATGTTTTTCTTCTTTTTTCTTTTGCGTGCTAATGGTGATTTTATTAACGTTGTCATTTTGTAGAAATTGGGTTTGATCTCATAGATATTCAAGGTTTGAAAAGGTTTATTTTCTAATTTTAGTTTCCGATCGATTTCAAGACGAAAAGAGAGGATGGTAAATGTTTATTTCGAATATGAATGTATACAGCCCCACTAGTGGGAATTGACCTAATTTCATTGTATATTGTCTGGTATATAATAAAACTGGAGGGTTTATAGACGTCAGATGATATTAAATGTTATCAATTGTACAGAGAGGGTCAGGAAGCATATCACATGAAAGACGACCTCAGAGTTTGTTCTTAAGGGTTCACTGCAAACTGTACTTACACTTTTTGTGATTTTATTCCACTTAATTTGGTGTACTGTTTTGCCATCTATTTAAGTTTGTAAATATACTTCACTACTTGAGTTGGTACTGTGCCTATTAGTTGGTACGCAGTACCTTTTAGTCAGTACAGTATGTATAGTCGGTACGGGTACCTATTAGTCGGTACGGTACTTATTAGTCGGTACGCGGTACCTATTAGTCGGTAGGGTACCTGCTTGTCTGTACGCGGCACCTATTAGTCAGTACGGTACCTATTTGTCGGTAGGGTACCTGCTTGTCTGTACGCAGCACCTATTAGTCGGTACAGTATGTATTAGTCGGTACGGGTACCTATTACACTGCGATTTAATGGTCTCACGCTCTCAAGCAAAAATCGTTGAGAATTTTGCCAATTACTTCTAAAAAACCAAATCTAACAAGAAGTGCTTTACAGTGCTAAAATGTACATGTAAAGGGCTACAGAAAAGCATAAGTGAGTTAGAGCGGTAAAATCTAAGCTTAGGGCGTTGCGACACTTCAAAGTCAGCCCTGTCTTAAAAATTGATGAGACTGTTTATAAGGAGGCTGAATCTATGTGATTAGTCGGTACGGTACTTATTAGTCGGTATGGGTACCTATTAGTCGGTACAGTATGTATTAGTCGGTAAGGGTACCTATTAGACAGGGTACTTATTAGTCAGTACGCGGTACCTATTAGTCTGTAGGATACCTGTTTGTCTGTACGCGGCACCTATTAGTCAGTACGGTACCTATTAGTCGGTAGGGTACCTGTTTGTCTGTACGCGGCACCTATTAGTCAGTACGGTACCTATTAGTCGGTACGTGGTACTTATTAGTTGGTACGGTACCTATTATTCGGTATGGTACGCGGCACCTATTAGTCAGTACGGTACCTATTAGTCGGTAGGGTACCTGTTTGTCTGTACGCGGCACCTATTAGTCAGTACGGTACCTATTAGTTGGTACGGTACTTATTAGTTGGTACGCCGTACCTATTAGTTGGTATGGTACCTATTGGTCGGTACGTGGTACTTATTAGTTGGTACGGTACCTATTAGTCGGTATGGTACATATTAGTGAGTACGGTACCTATTATTCGGTATGGTACCTATTAGTCAGCACGGTACCTATTTTTCGGTACGGTACCTAAGATGAACCGGAGTTTTCAGAGGCTTTTTTACGACCAAACTTTTGTTTCTTTAAACGCTTAGCCGGCAGCATTTCCCGTTGACGGTTATACCTTTCACACAAAATACCTCATGCGTAAAATAAAAATGGATGACTTGTCCCGATCCATAGCAAAATCCCAAAAAAAGTTTTACCCTCTGATGTGATTTTAGGAACAATTATTTTTCTAATATTTCAATTTTTATTTGTTTTTACGACTTGAGACTACAAAAATTGTATTTTAATTTTTTCCCTTAATTAATGTATAGGTCACAGGTGTAATTTCAAGAGTCCCTCCATTTTTAAAGAGGAATGTGAGGAATGTTTGATTAGAAAAGGTACCCTTGAAAGATTTGTCTGAGTAGGATTGAATCAGATATATATGTTTTTGAACATATAAACTTATATATTACAATGTTTTAAAGTGTAACTGAAACTTTAAATAAACTTATCAACAGAAATTAACTTCAAGTGACCCTTAGTTCTAAAGTATACTGCATGAATGGCAAAAAAAGATTTCGTACATAGAAGTAATAAAAAAATAACTAAATAGAAACGAGTCTAGTGTAAATTGTTCTATTTATTTGACAAGACCAGATATTTGTGAGACAACATAAACAAGTAAACAAAATAAGAAAGAAAGAAACCAACAAAAAGATAAATAGAAAAACAATATTCAATAAAAATTTGAAAAGATACAATGTAAAAAATACATCGATCACAACTTAGGATTATTAAATTGTAATTGTTTCTTCTTCTACAGTGTGTTCCAATAATCTGTTTGTTCTTCTACAGTGTGTTCCAATAATCTGTTTGTTCTTCTACAGTGTGTTCCAATAATCTGTTTGTTCTTCTACAGTGTGTTCCAATAATCTGTTTGTTCTTATACAGTGTGTTCCAATAATCTGTTTGTTCTTCTACAGTGTGTTCCAATAATCTGTTTGTTCAAGTTCCAGGAAGATTATATTTTGGTAATTTGATCTTTTTCTTTATCATTTTATAAATATTCACTTATATTAGATGAATTACTAGCTAAAGTTCAAATTGCATCTTTCAATAACACCACTCTAAAAGTTGCATTATCAGAGCCGGTACAACATGTACTGTATCCGCATTCACTCGCACTGTCCAGTGTGTACAATCAAGTGTAGAGTCGACCCATCAAGTTTTATGCAACAAATGTATAGCTTAACAATATCACAGTGCATGATTTATTAAAAGTTTGATCTGCTAAAGTACTAAAGTGCTAAAGTACAATACCATCCATATTATATATTTTTATATATTTAAATTGCGATTTTCGGGAATAATCAGAAAATTGAAAAAGAATAAATCATAAAAAAGATTGTATAAAGCTAATATAAAAATTTGCATGCAGAAAATACTAGGTTTTTCAGATTATTGTCTGCGTATTTTGGCGTTAAAGCTTGGAGATAATCTAATAAGATATGGGACGCTCTGCACACAAATATGAACTAACTACAACGTTATAGTGTATATCTGTCATTATCGGAATATATTCTGTCAAATTTTTTCTCTCATTTGAAATTCGTCAAAATTTAGCGTAAGCCACATTATATATTTAAATATTTAAAATACATAGCTGCCCAAAAAAGTATAGAATTCAAAATACGAAATTACGAAATTGAGTGAAAAAAGGGGCTTATCCCATTCACAACAGTACCTCTACCCTAGCAACACTGAAAAAGATAATGTTGTTTAACGTTTTCTCTAAAAACATGTTGGATTCGGAAAAAGATCTGAGTTCTTGCCACAAACTCAAATTTTCAATCCCTATATCTTTGCAATCTGATGGTACAAACCTTTAATATTTCAAATTTGATTTAATAGAATTCATATTTTGATATATCAAAGGTCTAAGAAATTGAGTTGCAAAGATACGTATATTAGAAAATCAGAGTTTGTGGGAAAAAGACTCAATTCCTCAATTTTGACACAAAACTTGGTTTTAAACATTACTTTACATCTCATAGAACATGAGATGCGTGATTTTTGGAAAACAAACTATTAAAGGACGAAAAGTTTTGTATACTGAGCAATATCTTGCTTTACAGGGATATCAAGAGACTAACAAAGATTACAACTTTATATATGTAATAGCGTTGCCCAGAGCACTCATAGTTACTCCCGCCGTTTACGCGCGCTAGGTCATGAATAACGATTTTAGAGGGGCTAACAAAATTAGACCTACTGAACTTATAATCTCAAACCCAAGCTAAGAACATTCCAATGGTTCTTCCGAGTTTCTCCCCAAAAAATTGAGGCAGACGGTCAAGGGGTTCATGAGTTATGAACGGACATACAGACAAACAGAGATTACAGAGATGAACCCCCAGTAATAAACTGTACCTGGAGAATGACTAAATGTCTATGTTTAATGATCTGTAAAGTGCAATGAGTAAATATCTATGACGAGAATTCTACGAATGATAAGAAGAAATAATGCGTGTAAATACTCTGAACGCGTCACCAACATGTCCGCCTGAAAATCTGATGATCCGTCACTAAATTAAAGAAATATTTTCCAGGGTTAGGTGAGTGAGTAATACAGATTAGTTTATCAGATACTAATCACTTCTCTTTTTATAGATCTGATGCGTCTAAAGAATATTCTGGGATTTTTTTACATTTTCAAAAAATACTTTTTAATAACGAGTTATTCCGAAAAAAAAAATTTTATTTTGTGAAAACTTTTTATTATTTTCTTAGTTTTACAATCTATGTATTTTTTTTTATCCCGCAAAGGAATGGTTTTTGTTTCATAGAGATTGCATTAAAAAATATTAACTAAAAATCTATTTATTCGTATTTAGAAAATATATTTTTGACTCCACAACTCATATCGATTTCCATGAGTACAAATTCTTAAGATAATGTAAAAACTGGTGAAAATTCAATCTAGAAAACGATCTAAATTAATGCCGGCAATATGCAGTTAGAAGAAAAATATGAGTAACAATAGTCTCCCAGAGCAAAGGAAAAAAATCCATATTATTTATCCTACTATTTGGAAAATAAAACTTTCAACATTTGTCTTAAGTTATGAATTCTATTGAATTTCAATTGAACTCGTATTTTCAATGGCGGTCTGATTTTTAACAAAAAGTTATAGAATAA